TGTCCACACTCTGTAACTCCTGTGGCAGTGTTTGAATTTCGAAATAGTCTTTGCTTTCCAATTCTTAGGAGTCAGTTGGTGTAACACCATTGAAAAAATAAAAATGATAAAAGAGAGAAATATACTGTTCTTTGCTTTGGGTGCAGCAGAAATAAAAAAAACAAACAAACAAACAAACAAACAAACAAAACAAAAACTCTGGGTAAATGTGACATATGTAGTAAGAAAAGGGAAAAGGAAGTATCTCACTGAAGACACCATGGTGTTGATATTAAAAAGATTTTCATTTAAACAAGATAAACATATCCACCTTACAATTACATAGGGCTGTTCATACATTTCTTGTTCATTGGTGAATTCAAGAAAATACAGGAATTATGAACAAATAAATAACTTGACAACTGTGTTATCATTTCATTTTTGCTGAAAACAAAATTCATTCTATTCACAAATTATTTCTGAATTAAACTATCAAACGGACATGATGAATACAATTTCTGACGAGCAACGTTTTAAACAAACTCTGCGGTTAAACATTATAATAGCTCATAAATTTAAATATAGATATCTATTGAAAAAAAAAAAAACTCAAAAAACAAACAAAGAAAGCAATGCCAAAGAAGCAACTAACATCAGCTTGCTTGTTTCAAGGAAGCCAGGAAACGCCCACAGTCTCACTCTTACCAGCACTGTCTGCACAGCCTCTAACGCCAAGCCGTAAAGGTGTCCACACGGGAGTTGTTTTACCACTGGAAGCAAATAGCCAAAGGTGGTTGAATAATGCAGGCTTTCTATATATCGCAGAATTTGCAGGGGAACTAAAAACTTCCTTAATTCTACCAATTTAGGTTGGTGCCATAAGGCTTGTTCTTCTTCTTCTTCTTCTTCTCCTTCTTCTTCTTCCTTATTAAAACAAGAAGGTGACAAACTCTTCCTTCGAAACAAGCTTTTAAGGCTGAGTCCATTATTCCTTACACGGATGAACAATATTCATTTGGTTCAGTCCAGCCAGCAGGTGACATCAGAACTAATCAGACCTGGTACTATTAATTCTGCATCATATTGTGTCTACTCTGTAAGTCGCTTTGGATAAAAGCGTCTGCCAAATGCATAAACATAAACATAAACATAAACATAAACATATTCTACATCCTTACAATTTTCGCAATTTTCCTTCCTTGCTTAGGTCCTTCATAAAATGTTAACTATAAAAATGGCTTTCAATATGTTTAAAGTTCAAATAGCTGCTGACTGCATGTGAGCACATAACAGAGTTATGTTAATTGAATTCCCACTTCTTAATTCAATGAAACCAACTGATTGTTCTCCATTATCATCTGATTAAATTAAATAGAAAGCAGAACTAAGTGGCATATTATAACTTTGCAAGTCCCTGCAGAAGTACTGTATGTAGTCAAACAGGGTATTTGCTGAAGTTCAGTAAAAAAAAAAAAAAGATCTGTTAAAAAAATGGTCTGCTATAAAAATGAATATAACATCCGCTCATTGTCATTTGTTCTCAGTGAATGAAGTAGAGCAGCTAATGTTGAGAGTTGCACATTGAATGTGTTTGCTTTGTTGAAGCCAGTGAACTGACTCTGGGTTATTAAAAGAATAATAATTTGAAAGATTCTGTATTCAGATTTCCGAGAGTGAAGCAGTGTTTCATCCGACTTGATAAATCATAAGGAATAGAATGATAAGGTTTTGGATTTTATTTAGCCTAGCAAGTGAAACATAAAATTTGGCATTATTAACATATGACAGCTCCAAGTGTTTGAGGTGACAAGCAACACAAACTGACTGATTGATTCTGAGCTTTGCGGTGATGTTTGCATGCATGCATAGTTTCTCTCCACATGCTCCGGTTTCCGCCTGCAGTCCAAAAACACGCACCACGTTATTTGATCATTCTAAATCGACCTCAGGTGTGACTGAGGATGTGCATCTTTTGTTTCTTTGTGTTGGCTTTTCAATTACTGGCAACACATCCAGGGTGTAGCCCGCACAAACTAGGGCAGACATAGAAAATGGACGAGTGGGTGGACTTTTTTTCATTAGCAACCATCGTGCAGGTACGATAACAATGTAGGGTGAAATTTCCCGGCAGACTGAGGGAATTACTGCTTTCAGATGCATTGTGATTTAGATGGTTGTTTACCAGCACATGGCAAAACACAAGCAGTCCAGAAAATTGGGTGCAAGATTCCATCTGCTCACAAAGGCTCTCAAATGATGATGATTTTCGGGACTTTTGAAAAAATTAAAAACCTTAAAATGACAAGACAATGTCAAAGAGAATATTTCAGTTCTGTAGGTGGACGGTCCACACGGTCTGTATTTCCTGGCTGAGAGTCCCTGGGGGTTTCAGTGGCCATCGTTTGTTTCACAATGACATGGGACGATGTGTGCAAGGGGACATCCAGCCCTCTCACTTCTTATTCCTGATTCCTCATTTTCTCTGGACCCCACGAGCTTCAGCACACAGAGTCGGCTGTGGGTATTATTAGACGTGAGTGAATCACAAGGCGCATGGACATTTGTACACACACAACATTGCAAATCTTTCACAGTGGAACGGCACTATTTTTTCTACATGACACAACTGAGTACCACTCTGGTATAGTCAGTCGAATGTGCCATCTCTTTGTGTTAAACAGTGAATTAACTTTTTTGAAACTCTTGATTCCATATCTAGAAACAAAAAAGTGTGTTTTTGACAAAAAATGACCCATATAAGGTTTTGGGCTTAAATCCTACCCAACAACTTAAGTTCCTCTTTCTTTAAGTTGCTCAAGTCAGACAAAGATGACTCAGTGCGGATATTAATCATGTTTTTTTTCTTATCTTCATGTCACCCGCTACCAAGTTCGCATGTCAGTTAGTCTATTTTTGAAAACTGAGAACTTAAACTTTAAATGGTAAAAAGAAAAAAAACAATTCTCCAAAGAACATGTTGTGCTCTTGTATTTAACATTAGGTTGTGACATGATATATTAAGACAGAAACAAAGACACATCATCATGTGCTTTTCCTTCTTTTCATGATACAGTTGTTCACTTCAGGAGCTAGTGTGTTCCAAAATGTAAAGCATGATCATACATCATGCAGCTCATGCGTGTTGTCATGAAGACATTGTCCTTTCCTGTGTAGCTCAAATCCAAAATCCAAATTAAATAATTTGGGAAATGCTGCTCCGTTTAAAAATAGAGGGCTGTATACACAGAAGACTACAGTATATCAAAAACCCAACAAAAGCACACTAGCCCTAGGTGGGACATTTTAGGGACATAACATGACATTCTATCTTGACCACTTTCAGGGCAAATGTCATATGTTTCACTACAATTTCTGCTACCATCTGTCAAATACACCCCCTGGTGGTCAGGCAATTTAATCTCTCCCCCCTCCTCGTCTAAATCCTCCCATGGTGGTGAGATGGGGGCTGTCTCACCAGGAGAGGAGCACTTACGAGTTTTTTTTCTTTTTTTCACAAACTGCCTCTACATGTAGGGTTAGTTGTGTTTGAATGTACGGTAATTGTGTATGATGTGCGTTGTTCACATTAAAATATTTTTACCTCATTTTAAGACTAAGTAAGGGACGCATAAATGTCCCTCCCTTTTCCTTTAAGCTCTGACCTGTGGAAATGTGAAAAATGGGCTTCTCTTACACAGCAAGTACTATAACTTTAATCTTCAGCAACTTATTATAAAGTACAAACTTGCTGGTTTTGAGTATTAGAAATTCTGGTGGCTGGAACAGTTTACACACCCAATAATTAAAGGGACAGCCTACTCTGAAAAATACCGGACAGAAGTATAGAGTGGTTTTTAAGTTAAGCTCTTCAACTATCAGTTAAGTGCAAATGGTCAGTTGCTGTCCTTTGTCCTATGTAAGTTCTGTCGTATCAGCTGTTTTAATCATAGACAAAAAATTGCCCTTGCAGCAGAGACAGCAATGTTCTTTTTAAGCGGAAACAGTCAAATGTATTATGTGAAACCTTTAACCTTGTTGATTACATCATTAAAACTATTTTACTTGGCTTCATGAACACAGTCCACATTTTGGTTTCTGGAATATTTCTGGTTTTATTCAAATATATAATAATGTTTTGGTTTTTGCTATTTTTTAATAAAAATAATTGAAGAGATCCTGTAGTAACTGTGCTTTGTATGTGTTTTTGGCTTTTGTTCAAGTCTCACTTATTAGCAACATATCAAAATCTGATGGTGATCTGCAGCAGAACATCCACTCATTCATATTTTCTACTTAATCCAAATCAGGATCATGGGAAGCCAATGCCAGCTGTCGTTGGACAAGAGGCAAAGTCCAACCTGAGAAAAAAACCATGTACAATCCCCCTTACTCCTGAAGTCAACAATCACTAATCTACCTAACATACAAGATGGATAACCAGCAGAGAACTCAAGCTTGCACAGTGACACATCTGTGCTGGGATGATTTGGAAAGAGTTACTGGGTTAAAATCCTGTGGGACTTCCTAATTCAAGGCCAAGAAACAGTGAATGACCTCCCTAATTCTACAGAGGAAAGTGCCTGTGATTGCAACAGCATTAATCAGTGTATTATTTTCCTGGTAATAATTTAACTTAGTTTGTATCTTCTTTTTTTGTTGCCACCAGTCATGTCAGCTGTGCTGAAAGATAGTACAACAATAATCTCACAAGTAAAAAACAGAAGTTATGTCAGTGTTGCTTTGTTCGCCAGTAACAAAAAAAGAACAATGAGAGTTAAATGAGGATGTTGTGTGTGTGTGTGTGTGTGTCTTTGTGAATGCAAATAGTTCAGCATCAACTTGAATGCTGTGATTTTGAGTGTTAAATGAACACACGTGGCAGCAGTGTTCCTTTTGCTTCCTCTCCACTTTTAATAGGCTAACTCATTTTCCTTAAAAAAATATCCAACCTAACAGAATCATAACGGATGGGGGCACTAGTATTTCTTTTTTTTGGGAGGTGGGGTGGCGTGGCGGGTACGTTTCGGGGGGCTTCAGAGGGAAAATAAAGTCACTTCCTGAAATATTTTCCCGGGGCGGGATCCATGTTGTGACTCCCTTCTCGTGTTGATGTTTTTCCCCTCCTGGATCCTGATACGTGGCTGTTTGGGAAAGCCGCGGAGAGCTCCCCGCTGCAGCCGCTGGCAGTCCGGAGGAACTCCGCAGCGAGAGCCTGCCCTCCCCAAGCCGGCCTGGATGGCAGGGACACACTGGTGCACACACTGTCTGAACTACAAGGTATTTTTCCCGTCAAACGCCGCACTCAGACTGCCTTTTGAATTGCTTCCAGTGGCATTTTGTTTGAGTTTTATGCAACGGTGACGGTAATTTTTTTTTCAAACTGGCGCCAGCTGCGTTAAAATAGCCGTTAGCATTCCCAGGCAGCGGCTCTGTCTGTGGGGCTAATCTCTTTAGCGAAGCTGCGTACGTCTCCACGTCTCTGCCCGGACACGTACGCCGGCTAATGTTAGCCTGCTAACTTTCACCCACGCACTTCAGAGGAGTTTAGTCTCGGGGTTTCAATGCGAGAATAATTTTCGGTATAATTATCGTTATCATTTTGCCACCAAATGTCTTTAAGGTTGTTGTTGTTGTTGTTGTTTTTTTCAGGCTACTGCTAAATGTGGCGAGTTAACCGTTCCTTCACGAGACTTTGACAGACTAAACACTGATAAACGGATCAAATTCAAATATCTGTGGCAACATTTTTTGCATTTTGGGGAATTGCAGTCAGCTGAAGATAAACAAGTTCAACTTTTTCTCTGAGTTTGCCAGTAATTACGGCGTGGAAAAGGTATAGGCTGCTGTCTGTCTGGAGGTCAGTTCTGACCCCGGTTTTCTGTCTCGTCCACAGCTGAGGCTTCAGCCACATGTGAAAGCGGATCTGGGGAAAGTCTCAGTCATAACCAAGCTAGAACATTCTTCATTATGTTTTGAAAACAACCAGACTTACACACCCAGAGAGCACTAAGTGTTAACCACGTGAAATATTTTAGCTCCAAAATGTATGAAGGATTATGATAAATGAGCCTGGCTGACATATTTGCCTATCATAGTAACTACAGAGATTTTAATGGATGTATCTCCTGATAAAATCACGGAATGGCAGTATGGAAATAACTGAGCAGGTTTGGAAGCATTTCTCCCACTCATGATACCTGATATTTCTGATAAATCAGATTTTTTAATTATATTGTAAAATCACTTGGTTTCTGTTTTTTTATTTTATTTACATTTTTCTGAATGGGTCTTAACCTTTTTTTTTAAGAACAGCTCAGTCTGCATCAATAAAGCAATTTATATTTGGCAATTTATCGGCTTTCTTAGTCCTCTATCATAAGCAATTAACGCTGCAGTGATTCTGATTTATTTTAAAATGTTTTTTATTTGAAATAATTGTTCTTAATATCTTTGTCATTGAGAAATACCCCAAGACTTTTGCAGGAACCTTTAGTTGTAACTTTTCTATACTAAAAAATACAACTTTATACTTTAATCAAACATTTTCTGTAAATTCTTCTCCAAAATAGGATTTTCCCCACCAAACTAGGACATTATTGGTACCAGTTAACCTGATTTTTTATTTCTGGGATGCTGGTTAGGGCCATGATATGATGCAAGCTTAGTTTTAGACATTAACTGGCGATGGTAATGGTTTAATTAGAAGTAATTCAGTTCACAGTTAACGGAAATCAATTGATTTAGCTAAAATGTTGCTTTAATATTGCTACAGATGTCACTGTGCACATGTGAATCATCTTTAGACCATACATGTAAATTGGATCACATCAGAATACATTTAAGACTGATTAGCTAATCGTTGATCACTGCTGCTTAAATGTAATACAGATCAGGTCCACTGTGAAAATCAGGTCAGCTGTCTTTACTGTTAAAGATCTGTGCTACACATTAAACATTAGGACATGTATCAGATTGGTACCATGACAAACTACATTGTGATGGTTTTCTTCTCCATTCACAAGTATTATCGCATCATTTGATGTGAACCTATCTGAAAAGGTTTTTCTCATCACAAATCTCGTTTGTTAAAGCGTTACAAAAGATCCAGCGTGAGTAGCAAATGTGCACCTGCATGTGGTCAGATCAGGACTTCAATGGGTGTTTGAAATGGAAAGCTTCCACATTTGAATTATAAAGTCCTTTTGTGGTTTATATGCACCGGAGGCTACAGTGTCTGACAAACCAAACTGCCTGACAATCTGTTGAAGTATTGTCTTCTGTATTCAAAATTCAACCAAGATACAGTTTTTTTTTCTATAATTTATTTTTGCTCATGTCCAGTGATTTGCTGCTCTTTTATTATCAGCCATGCAAGCAGTTAAAATATGTTTCTTTCCATCTGTAGGAAAACTGTGCTGTTAAATTAGTCCTTAGTGGCGACAGTTTTTTTAGGTTAGCGTTAATCAACATCTACTATTGTCTTTTTCTCCTCTTTACAGCAATCCTGGTTGCATCTGGTCTTTGGTCCGTGGTACGGATGAGAGGTGGAAGCTGCTGGAAGCCCAGTTGGGCTGTAATTGTTCTCTTTATCCCTGTTACCCTGCTGATGCTCACCTCCAAGGGAGCATCAAGCCGCCAGAAGATGACACAAACCTCTATGGCGCACGCAACAGCCACAGCTGCCGGACCGGGCCCCGGCCTGACGGACGACCTCCCAGGCCTCAGGGCTGTGGCAGAGTTTTTAGCCAGTGAGCGCACACATGTATGGCTCCTGTCTCTGGTGGGCTCTGTGGCTGTAGGCCTCAGCGGGATATTTCCCCTGCTTGTCCTTCCCATTGAAGCCGGAGCAGCCCTCAAAACAGAAGGTAACCCTTTCACCCTTTGGTGAATCTTAAATCCCAGCCGCACAAAAGAGCCTCCTGTAGGATCAATTTATGGTCTTGTTGGATCTTTGATATCTAGTCAGAAAACCAGCTGCATGCTCCTCTTGTTTGAAAATGTGAATGTGGAGCGCAGCCTTAAATTTAGGTTTCTGAAAACTGTTTCTATCTTCAATCGTATGCTGTGAACTCCTGAAGGACAGGGCACATTTTGGGTCACAGAACATAAATACACTTTGAAGGGTCAAAAGCGTCGGAGGCTGATGCACCGCGCTGATACAAGTTCACAGCTGAGCTTTTTTGATACAGTGACATAATCAGCACCATGTACAGAGCAGGAAGTATGTCACCCGTCACCTAAATGCCCTCCAGATAGATTTGAAACTGTAAGTGCACTAAGGGAAGCAAGATGGGTCCAAACATCCCTCTTTTGGCCGATGTGTTCAAAGTAAAAAAGCAGTGTGACAAACAGCCAATAAACAGAGAAGTTAAGATAATTTATAGCATAAAGATTTCTGGTGCTGTCTTCATGAATTCTATGTGCTCTGTATTAAAAGCTCTCACAAAGATGTTTATTGTTTTTGCTGGTCTGTGCATCAGTGTACATCAAATGTAAGCTGCCTTTCAAAGACCTTATGGTGTCAGATTTTCATAAGTAGATTTAAAACATTTTTTTTAGATACTTCTGCCACCACTTCAGTCCCTCTCCAGACATGGATCTTTGGATGTGCAGAGGAGGACTCCACACTGCTGTCCAACATGCCCATGATCAATTCAGGCTTATGTGAAACACCAGTGCAGCCCTCAGTGGAAATAAACACGCTCTTATCAAATCACATTCAAAGCTAAAAGTACATTGTTTTGATGCTGCCCTTCAGTAAACAGGCTTAAGTTACTGTAGGCCAGCCTTGGGTCCGAGGCTCTTTGAGGGCCCCACCCACAGGAACAGGACATTCCAGATGTATTTTAGGCTGTGGGTTGTTAAGTGCTGCTCTGACCAGAGGTTGGTCATTACAAAGAGAACTCCTTAGGATTAAGGTTTTTAAGATTAGCTGTCTAAAATGAGATTTGCTTTTAGATGATTCATGCCCTGATTGTTGGAATGGTGAATGAATATATACCTGATGAGAAGGAACAGCAGGGCTGAAAAAGTGTCGCAGCCAGAACGCTAACCAGATAATTATTCTCCGTGTCATAGTCTGTGCTGTAATCACTTTCCTGGTTCTTGTGTGTGTTTTGCCAGCTGGAAGCCAGAAACTGAAGCAGCTTTTGAGCTTCGCTATTGGTGGTCTCCTTGGTGACGTATTCCTTCACCTCCTTCCTGAGGCATGGGCACTCTCCAACTCATCAGGTGGGGGTCTCCTATCTATAATTACTTTAATATTTAATGCTGAATAGATTTCAGTGTGTTGGTAGAAATGGTAATACTACATAAATGCTTCTTATAGCTTGGCTCTCTCACATCCGTCATAGGAGAAGTATGCCAATGTTAAATGTGATCTATTCATCCACAAGATCCTTTTACATGATAATCTTTCTTAATCAATCATATCTTCATCAATTCTTCTTAAAGAAACACATTTTCAACAGAACTGAATTACTATTTCTCTTTAGAAATTATTTGTGGAAAATGGTTTTAATGCTTTGTTAGGTTTAAATGGTTTTTTAAGCGCCACCAGTCGGGTGTTATTGATATTATAATGATGATAATGACTATAATAATATTCACATAATTGCAACCTGTCTGAATCCTTCCAGCTGGTAAACAAAACCACTACATGACCCAGGGCTTGTGGGTAATCATGGGTCTGCTTGCCTTCCTGATGTTGGAGAAAATGTTCCCAGACCAAGAAAGCCTCGAGGATCCCACCTCAGATTCAGACCTGAATTTCAACCTGTCTGTAAGTCTCTGTGCTGGAATCGAGCTGTCCCGCGTGTCGAAGCAGGCTTTCACATGTCTTTATTCCATCGGCATGCCCAGCGCAGATGCTTTCCTCCTTAGTCTGCATTTCTGCCAGTGGTATTTTGATGACTGTAAAATCCGATGACCTACAGCTCACCCGAGAGTTTACAGCAACAGTTCCACATTTTGGGGCCAAAAAAAAAAAAACCTATTTGGCATTTTTGTCAGTCACATAAATGCTGCATAAGCAGGTTTCATGTTTATGCTGACGTCCTATAAGTATTCTTGGGATTTTATAGTAGATGGAAGCTATTCCTTTTAATATCTGTTTACTAGAAATGAAAACGAACTTGTACAATGACCCACTTTACTCACACAAGATGCTCTGTTGTTTAGATGTGTACTGCCTTGAGACGGCTGGTTTCCATCTATTATTTACTTGCTATATTACAGAATAACAGAGTGATGTGCTTGATTCAATCTACATCAAAGTGGAGGCTTATTATTCAGAATTTCTCTGCCAAACTGTGTAACAGGAAACGCGATTGAACAGCTGGTCGCAGTGCGTTTGTAAAAGATGGTCTCATCCCCACCCCCCTCCCCTCTGTCTTTCTAATGCCATTGAGGGAGAAGATTGGAATCCACGGCTCAGCTCCTCCGTTTGTGTCTATTTTTAGTGCTGGGATGAAGCAGTTGCTTTAGACATTTCAGAGTCCACAGGAGAGCACCCAGCCTTTCCACAGAGTTGACAATGGGCAGAGACAGCTAGGGATGCTTTAAAGTGTGTGCCTGAGCTAAACCTGAAAGCATGAAAACCAGCTGAACGCCTGTGCTTTTTTCTTTGGATTGGATCGGTGTTTAGGGTGGATGCATCATCTGTGTACAAGACAGGGTTTCCACTCGATTTGTTTTTTTTTTCATTTAATACACCATCAAACAAAAATCGCACTGTTTTTTTAATTTCATTTAGGATTTAAGAATCTGTAGGAGAACATTAATGGCCTGGAAAAGAAAGAATAATGCCTCTTTATCACTTCCTTGTGCTTCAGCACAGACATGGCGCAGACATTTCCTTGTGGTGACATGAGGACAGAAGGATATTTCCCCCTGGCTTTATTTGACTATCAGCTTTAAATGGCAGTATTTGTGGTTTCTGAATGATGGAACAGGGAAGTCGGCTGGTGTCAGAAAACAGAAGCTCCAATCTGAGCTGAATGGGCCTCTTCTTTTTATATTCGTCACTTAAACAGGTTTGACCATGAGAATTTACAGTTCAGCAATTCTTAAATCTGAAAGACAAAAGAATTGCAAATCGCTGTATGCAATTACATTTATTTTTGTTAGGATGTTAAAAAAAAGATCTTTGGGCGCACACAGCAGGTGTGCAGCAGTAAAATGTCTGTTTGCTGGAGTCAGACTGCTGTTAAATGGCTGTTTTGGTGGGAGGACTGTTAGTGTTCAGGGGGGCAGAACAGGTCCACAGAGTAACATCTTTGAATTTCTGTTAATTCACATTTCTGATTACTCATTTATTTAGAGCAGAGGACAAGATGTGACTTCCCTTTTCCCCAACAGATGCAGCCTAATTCAGCTTTCAGTGGAAAAGCTGCAGCTTCTCTGAAAAATGGACACAACACCGAGTCGTGGAATTCCTCCAAGCAGCTGCAGGATAGATCAGTGAAAATCAAGGTAATGCTCACATAGCTCTGTAAACGAAAACACAGAAAATGATTTAAAAAAAGGCTGCGTTGGGGTAATCAAATTAACTTAATATGAATTACTCATACAAGAGCACTGTTTTTGACTCTGTAGTGTAACACAACCAGACCCCATAGCAGAGGTTAGCCTTTGTAAGCATGAGACAACACACTGACTTTAGAGGCCTGTACCGTCTTATTTCAATAAATAAATAACAAATCTTCAACGGTTTTCTGAGTGGCACTTTGATTTTTCACAGACGAGTGGATACTTAAACCTGCTGGCTAACTGCATTGACAACTTCACCCACGGACTGGCGGTCGCCGGGAGCTTCCTGGTTAGCAAAAAGGTAAAAAACTGCCACAATCGCAATACTTAAAACACTTAAAACAACCTTGTTGTGGACACTTTGTGTGGCAAAAGTTCAAACACCAAACCATGGAAAATGTGACACTTATAGAATATTTTAATGTTATATTTTTATTATATTATGATATCATCATTATAATATAAATAGAATTATTATATCCTAGGATATTCTCATTATTATTGAATATATTTTCTTTTTCTTTTTTCAGATAATAAAAAGCACCTCCATGGTTGTGTTTTGACTGAGCGGCTTCAAATGGTTCGACTCTGAGAATATCCAAGTCTTGAGTCGGCAGTCAAATGCTTTGTAGCCATTAGTCATCAGTTTCTTTGTGCTTTTTCGTTTCTATGCATTTTTTATGTCTCTGAGTGGAGTTCAGATACATGAATGGATACAAGCGAAGAAGGCTGAAACATGACCACCGCTGAATAATACCCGCATGCTGAACTTTTAAGACAGGCCAAAGGGACATTTTTCAAAGCTTTTATGTGTAGATGAAATGAGTCACTCTTGATGGAACACAGGCATGGAGCCATGCTGGACCGCTAATGGACAGTGGGCACCACTGTGAGTCAGGCTCCATCAGGGTGGAGAGGGGTTGCTAATATTGGCTGCCGTCATTAATGGTTTGTTCCTTATTCGGTTGCTTGGTTGAGGAAGCCCTACAAATGGTCTTCCAAACCTGCCGCCAAATGAGGAACTGGAACTGGTTGATGCAGTTGTCACTTACTACTTAAAGCAGTGACATTAAAAGGCAATGGAACCTGATGTTATTCAGTGGTACCAGATGTGACTGATAAGGAGGAGCAATCTCAAACCTTGCTTTTGACAGGAAAATGACAAGCAGGCATTTCAGAGCCTCAAAAACACAACGTCTTTCCACATTCCTTAAAGGTTCGCTTTTCTGAAAATGAAGCTGGTCAATAACTACAGAAACTGACCCAAAGGTTAATTTTGATGGTTAAAATCAATGTTTTGTAGAACAGGCCTGTTCATAAAATGGTATATTTGACAGGGCAGCACCACGGATTTGTACCGCTCTAGCAGGTTACGGTATATCTGTAGCTGTGGGAAGAGTCCAGCTGGAGAGGCATAAGGCAGTCAGCATGATCTATAGATGAGTGTGCCAGGGAGGAAGTTAACTAGATGTCTCAAACATGCACATACAAGACATCTCGCCAGCATTTTTTGTTTACTCCGTGTGTGCTCGTTGCAGTGAAATTGAAAATAAGTAGAAGGTAAAAAGAAAAATCAACACAGCGTTGGTTCAGTCTTATTTGCTTAGAGGCCCGTGAACCGGTGTTGCTCCCTCATTACCGGTGTCTGTCTTCAGCCTTTTGACTTTCCGTTGTTGTCTTTATCCTCTCATTAGGTATCTTTTATCTTGTGTGTGTTCCCTGTGTCAGAGTCTGGTAATCGTATCAAATATTTGCAAATTAGTTAAATATTGGGGAATATGGCGAAGAAAGTTCACGTTACTTTTCTTCTCATGCCTACTTTTTCAAGGTATTCCCCATCAGACATAATTAGCAAGTCTCTGGCACACTCATTTGCATAAAGTCTGTTAGGTTGCTCTTAACTAAATTCAGTTGCTCTCAGAGAAAGCGATGTTAATGAGGCTTTTCTTTCAGGTTGGGTTCCTTACCACCTTTGCCATCCTGCTCCATGAAATCCCTCATGAGGTGAGGCAACTTTTACGACGCGCCTCCTAAATGTAAAAATGCACGTTTGCTGGTGTTTGGAGACACACTCCATGTTAAGCCATTCCCTTGGCGTGGCCCTTCACAGGTGGGGGACTTCGCCATCCTGCTGAGGGCCGGCTTCGACCGCTGCAGCGCCGCCCGGATGCAGCTGTCCACGGCGCTGGTCGGGGTCTTGGGAGCCCTCTTTGCCCTGTGCGCGCAGTCCCCTAAAGGCACGGGTAAGAAAAAGGCCAAACAAATCCAGCCAGTGTGTGAGCCAGCGGCCCGTTCGGCAGCTGACCCAGTCATGAGTGTCTCCCTGTTGGCAGAAAGCGTCAGCAGCTGGATCCTGCCTTTCACCGCGGGAGGCTTCCTCTACATCGCTTTAGTGAATGTGGTCCCTGACCTGCTCCAGGAATCCAGCTTAAGGTATTGTACATGTTTTTAAAAGCTCGACCTGTTCCCACAAGCCACGTCTGCACCATTTGCGTGCGTTTGCAAAGTATAACCCTTAGGATACAGTTGTGTTTTTTTAGCTGCCGGGTCACGGCTATGGATGTAAGAGGTATACAGAGAGCTTTTGTTAGGAGTAGGATTACATGGAAACATCTCCCAAATGCCCACTGTCAGTCAAGCAAACAACATCTAGTCTACGAAATCAAAAGAAACTGAAATAGACAGAAATAGGACAAATATCATGGCATAAGACCGAGGAGGTCACACCAAGCAATAGCCAGACCCAAGTGTGCCGGGCTCTCAGCTGAGCTTTACAGGCCATTTCTGTTCTTCTGTAGCACTGATGAATGACTTCTGCCCGATGATTCCAAATCATCCTAAACCTTTGACCATTGCTTTTCTTTCGTCTTCGTAGACACTCCCTGTTGCAAATCCTGCTCATCTTCAGCGGTGTGGCCATCATGGCTCTGCTGTCCGTCATCCTTGACTGAACCCAGAGGAAACGCACCTTTTGCCTTGCCAAACACTACCAATAGAGAGGACTCCTCACCTCCATCAACTCCTCATCCATCATTCACACCAAAGTCATTTTGATTAAGAGGCTTTAAGACAACGTTACACTACAGAAAACGTCCTTCACAGAGGTTTGAATAAAAGGACAACCCTTTATCAGCTGACAGGACCTACATGTGCACACTTTTAAATGTGCCGTACTTAGATTTTGAGAGGAGAACGAAGAGAGAATGTTTCAAATGGTTTACAAAACTGCTTTCGATGGGGATGTTTTGCACATGTTTTTTCACAGGTACAGACTCTGAGCGGGACTGGTGTTACTGGCCGTGTCCTCACAATCCAATCCAACCCACGTTTCTAAATGGTTCACGTGTTTTTTAATGTTGTGCTTCCTCTGCTTGCATTGTAGCTCCTTCATATTTATTGAAAGTGAAACAGATGCAATACTTAACACTTTCAACTTTTAATTGTTTTGTAGAAATAAGTGCCAAACGGTCAGGCTGATCAGTCCACACCAAAGTACCTTTTTACCTGTTTGTCTTCCTCACACAGCGTGTGTAGCTTGCACCTTTTTTTTTGGGGCACAAATTTGTGCTTCATAAGACTTAAAAAAATTATGAAAACATGGAGAAAAGATTAATAATACTCAGTTTGGGTTTGATATTTGATGCTACCAGTTGTTTAGAGACTAGTTACTGAAAACTGTTCTTAGAAATGTGTTGTTAATACCCTCTTGAAGAAATAAAATTAATTTTAGATAACTTTGAGGGAAATGTCTGTTTATTTTTTTATGTAAAGGCGGAAAAGACAACGTGCACACACATATTTGTTGGAATCGATTGGAATACATATTGTTCTGTGAAACTCGGATGTTCCTGATATTGATCGGTAGACTCGTGAAAAGATGCTGAGACGGCCCAATTTGCTGATCTGACCTTGCTGCACAATAACCTGCCCGTCGTGAGCAGAATTTTACTGCAAAGGGCCGATGCCTAAAATGTCATATGGGAGGGAGGAGCAGGGGAGGCATTGACTTTATGTTTGCACTTGTCCAATTTCAACAGTCGTATTTGGCAAGCTTGTGTTGCCATAACGACTCCACCGCGGGAAGCTTTCCTTAGTCATCAGCCTTCTACAGCCGTAGCGCAGACGAATAACAAAACAGCCTCCACTTTGCCCCGTTCCCCACCATCCGTCCTCCACATTAGAGAAAACCTCCCACATTCCCAACCCCAGAGCTCCAGTTTAGACCCGATATCAAAGCCTAGCGGGCTGAAAAGAAAAACTTGGCTTGTGATGTGCAATCAGCTGAAGGAGAGGATGTTCTCCTCTGGTTTTCGGGAGGCGTTTAATACATGTCATCCTTGATTGCTGCCAGCTTCTCTCCTCTTTTTTTTTTTAATACAGTGAAAGTCTTGAGTCTGCATGTTTTCTTGCACCTGTCAACATTTTTTTAAACATAAATTGAGTCTTATTTAGAACCCTAATGTCAGCAGTGTGACCTGTAAGGAGGATCGGCTCTGTCCAGCTGGACTGACTGTGACTCCATTTACCATGACTCCAGATGAAAGGTGGGTTAGGGGAGGTTATGCATCCAGGTTGACCCTCGACATGCCCGTGCACATTGACTGGTCACTTATCAACGGGGTTAGTTGGCACAAGTTTAGAACATTTAGAACATTTTGCAGTAATGTTTCAGTTTGTATTCTCCATGCTAATGCGATTCATGACTTATATGGCTTTTTATGACTATAAAGTGATGGAGGGTTTATTATTTAGATGTCGTTGCTCATTAGGACCTGAGTAAAGAGTTGTAAAAACGGTATGAACCTGCAAGACCCTCCTTCATATAGGATGCTGGTATTTCCATTCATTCCAAAAATATTCACAGTATCATCACTTTGCTTTTCTCCTCACCTGTGCGTTTTACATGTTTATAGAGTTGGGGCAGAGGGGAGAGGGGGGGAGAGGGGTGGGGGGGGGGGGTGCTCATTCAAGCATAGCAAATGCCCGCCACTCCTCCACAAACAGAGCTTATTTTTTCAGTCTGCTCCCCCCCCATCCCGCAACAACCTGGAGGAGAGTCAGCGCAACTACACCGCTCCACACCACTGCCCCCCTGCCTCCTCCTCCTCATCCTCCTCCTCCTCCTCCTCACGGCGTTGGTCGCCATCCATCCCCTCTCCTCCTGTACCATAACAGATGGTGGGAACAACGTTGCATCCACCGGTCACCGTCACCACAGCAGACCGCAGCATCCTGCCCGGACTCCTCTGGCCTCGCAGCATCAGCACCATGCTCCTGCAGGACCGCCACACGCTCTGAGTGCCGTCGTGATTTATTTCACGCGGTACCAGCACCACCACGGAGGAAACCTTCTTGCGACTGTTCGGGCTCTCCATCGCGCGCGGGGGGGGGGGGGGGAAAGATGGCCGCTATGAAAATATTAACCAGCACGGGGCTCTTCTTGGCTTTCTGCGCGCTGGCTCTCCTCGCCATGGCGATCTGCACCGACTATTGGTACGAGACGGACGCCCGGAGGCACCGGGAGAGGTGTAAAAACTATGCCAACAAGCGAAACGACCCCGGTTACATCTACATCTCCAACCACAACCTCCCCCTCCAGATGCCTCCGAAGAGCCCGGAGAGGAAAGGTAACGGCCCGGACGCTGCTCCTCTCGTCAGGGGGAAGCGCCACTTTCTGGCCGCCGCGTCTGCCATGGAGTCTCACTGCAGCAGGCAGTTCAACTCCACCATCTCCGGGCTTTGGAGGAAGTGTCTCCGGGAGGGATTCGACCTGGAGACCGAGGACCTTATTTACAAAGGTAAACAGGGGGTGGGGGGGGGAGTGTGGAGCCTGACGGCGTCGGTGCGCACCAGGCCGTGACGAGGAGCGATGAGCTCACACCTCGCCTGAAACACACTCAGGATCACCTGCAGGCCTCTCAAATAGCTCAAATAGCTGTGCATTTTCTTCTCCAAAACGGGATTTGCAGAGAACGCTGGCTGGTTTGGTATCTTTGGTGAATAATCACTGTCCATGGTGCTGAGTTAACCCCAGTCTCCAGCTGAATACAGTAGACCGTCTTTGTTGTTCTCCACGCCAAGTCTATCAGAGACTAAAAGAGATTTCATGGTGGTAAAGAACCTGAATCCGGTTTGAAGTTAGCTCCTCTGAGGAGGCAACACAATGCCAAAGCTTTCTCAGTGACCAGTGACATCTCAGGCCCGGGGCAGTGATTGATGCCCTGTCCGGCCCGGGCTGAGGAGCACAAATTGAGTAAAGGCAGAAAAAGCAGGCTCTTCTCATGTGGAGAAAATGGGTGTCAGATGTTATATCTCCAAAATGGTCTGAGTCAAAGCAGATCCCTTGCAGATCAGGGTACTTAAATGGCCCATTTATGACAGTTTTCCCCCTCTGGGTCAACTACACCACTGCTTCTTTTAAAATCTTTAGAGCCCGGATCAACCACCCTTTTGATTAAATACAGAAGACATGGTCTTTGCTTTTGTAAAGTTTAACCTCGGACTGAAAATCACTAAACATTTCAAAGAGATTGCAGACATGGAGCATGACATTCTCAATGCTGCTTCTCATGAATAACCATAGATGTCAGAGACAGTAGTGCACATGATAACACATCTGATTTTGTTTGACTGACCTAAAAACTCTAGAAAGCCTATTGACGTTGTCACAGAGTGGTATTGACTGAGACCCGCGTTCGTTTTGAGGTTGTATATTGTGCTTCCATATTACTGGGCAGCATTCTGATGTATAGCGCTGCAACATTTGGCCTGTTTTGATTGTGACCTGTTCCCACATCCATCACAATATGGTGATGCTTTTCAATGTGGAAGTTAAAAAATGACTAAGTAAACGACTTCCATGCATTTTGCTCGTAAAAAGTCAACTGTGGTTGATTTGGATTCGGGGTTGTTAACATGTGAAACCCCAAGCAGCCATAGCTGAGGTACACAGTATAATCTGGCTCCATTACAGGTATAATATAATCTGTTAACTGATGATTAAATATCATAGAAAATAAACACGTAAAGCAGTCAGAGCAAACATGTTTCTGCTCATTTTAGATTTTCAGGATCACATTTTTCTTAATTCTCATATCTAAGCTCTTTAAAAAAAGGAATTTAAATATCTTTGTGCAAATATTAGCACTGATAACACAGCTGTTTCTTTCAAATTATTCATTAATTCATTTTTCACTGATTATTCATGATGGCCACTGGCTATGAGGATAATGTAAGTTAAAGTGATCAAAACATGGTTTTCTCTTTGTGCAAACCTCTGGACCATTGCTATGTTCCATAATACCAACCATAACTTCAGACTGAACTTTTAAACAGTTTTGATTGTACATTTTAAATGTGTGTACATCATGTCTTCTCTGAGATGCCCTGCTGGAACTTGGAAGCAGGCTTGTGTTTACCAGTCAGAGATCACAGACATACCGAGAGCAGACAGTTTAAGAGTTTATGATCCTAAAATTTCCAGTGCAAAATGCGGAAATGTGCATATCTCAAGAGGAGCTGTTTACAGCACTCTAATCAGAAAAGAAAAAAATGATTAAAGCTTCAAAAATCTGTTTAATTACGTTGCACAACTTGTTTGACAAGAGCGACGAATGAACTGATGCAAGCCTGTGACAAATCTGGTGTTTTTGTGGGCATGAATGCAAACCTCGATTCAAATGTCAAGTGTCTCTGTTTGCCGCTGCTGTGGAGTCACTGGAGGTATAAATTAACACTTGGTTTTGACTCAGGGCCATAAAAAGAAACAAGTGAGCGCTCATCATTGATTGATTGGATGTTGGAGAGCAGTTTTTGTTTCGTGTGCTCAGGCGGTTTTCGAGCGTGTTTACACAGCAACAGAATTTGAGGCTTGGCAGCTTTGGTCTAAGCTCTGGTAGGCACGCATTACACACCCACAGAGGTGTTTTTTTTTCTCTCTCTTTATTTCCTCTTCATTTTTGGCCTGTACTCAGTTCCATGGTGGGCGAAAAAATATGCTCGCAAACGTATCAATAGTACTGATGTATCAGTTATGGCGGGGAGACGTAAACAGTCCAGAGAAGAGCTCCGCTCGTGTTCATGCTCAGCCCTCAGTGTGGTGACATCATTTCAGTTTTGCCAGGTCCCAACAGTTTTCCCGGTTTCAGAGCAGCCTACAGGAAGTCGGACACAGGTCTGTATGAAGGGCTGGAGTCAACAGTTACTGACATCTACATCAAAATGGAAGGCGCTGTATTTTTCTGGGATGATTCTACACAAAACATTATCAATCAGTGACAGGTTTGAGTGTGAGGGGAGGGGAGATAAACGAAAGGCTTAGCGCTCAGTCAGGGTTCTGCAGCTCGTCTGCGATGTAGGGTTTCATGTTACATCATTTTGCTACCACTTTGGGCTTTGAGTCATAGAAATGTATTGAACAATGGGAGGTTCCTGTGTGCCATAGTTGCTTCTTCAGCTTTGTTTTCCTGCTGAACGCTGATACGTCAAAAGAGACAAAGACTAGTTTCGTTATGTCGAGTCACCAAGGTTTAAAATAAGCAAAATTGTCAATTTCAGCCTTTTTTTTGGTCCTTTTAACCCATAATTCTATGTTGGCTTGAGGTGACTTTCAGCCAATCGACAGTGGAGGTGAGAGGCAGGCCTTTACGCAGGTGTCTGTCTGCAGTGACTTCATCGCTAGAGGAATGAAGGACTTGGGCATTCAACCAAAACAAACAGATTTGTGTGCAGTGCTCCAAAAAGCACCCTGCCCTCTCGCATGAAGCTCTTTGCAGGTCAAATACAAATTGGTTTGCAAGTTGGCTTGAGCAGAGAGGACCTGAAAACAACAGATTTTCTCACAAATAGGACAAAGTGCCAAAATATGAACGATAATAAAGAAGCACGAGTGCGAACAGCTGCATCTCCCTTATTCCAACATCTGGTTCCACTCCATATCTCAGCACATCTCGGTCCGCTGTCATGCTTCAGATTGTGCCAAATATTTGGGACCGTGCATTTTTAGGAAAAATGAATGTGTTGCTCTCAGGGCCAAAGGCAATAAAGACGATTGAGACCTCACAGCGAAAAGCGCAGAAACCAACGTCCATGACAGTATGGAGCGCATCCACGTCCATAACATAGCAGGAATGCCTCAAACATGTATGAGTGAAGGGACTGAAAATACTATCCTGTTCCTTGGTGTAGGTTTTTCAAAAAGCAGGAAGAAATGGACCAGATTAACCCAAACAACTTACAGACTTGCAGGTCTTCCTAATTCTCTGATAGTTCAATTTGTAGCAGAGCGTGAGCCTTGGACACGAAACCTTCCACAGTTGTTAAGATTTCCAGATAAACATTGAACATTTCCCCGGCTGACCTGCAGCCAACACGTTTGCACATGACTTGAATTACAGGAAGTGTTGGTTTGATTAGAAGCTGACATAAATGTTTGGAGCTGCAATAGAGAGCTGCGCTCCTAAGAGCTAAATTTCAGCATAAAAAATTTCGAAAAATTGACATTTAACGGTTATGTTGGGGGGATTTTGTTAAATCGTCTATTATCCACATTGTTTCCTAACCCCCTCTTAATAGCCACGAAGGAGTAGGAAAACCAAGGTTAATGGTGCCAAGCTCAGAGATTTAAAACTCAGTAAGGTTGGTAAAATTAATAAACTCTTTTGTTGTCTGTAAACACATTTTTTTGGGTATTATTCCAGCAAAGAGGCAAAGGTTCAAAAGGTTCAAAAAGGCAATTATTGCTTCATCTTCTTCTATATAGCCTTTTTTTACCTCATTAACGTCTGGATATTTCTTTCTCCAGTTTTAATTGAGCCCATCATTTTGTCTTCTCCAGGAATAATTCAGAGATGTACCCCGGTCAAGTATCATTACTCCTCGTCCATTCTCCCACGAAACTTACCCATCAACATCACAAAGACCATCCGACAGGACGAGTGGCACGCACTCCGTAAGTCTTAAAGTGTTCGTCTTGTTTCAGTTGGCACGAGTCATGTATTCTCGGCATGAGAAACTTCACAGTTTCTCTTGTTTTTATATATATTCAGGGTTTACGATAAATCTTTAAAGGTTTCAAACAAAAAAGACATAAAAAGACTGAAAATCTGCCATTTCAAAATGATTTCATTTTGCATGTAAGGGTTGAATTAAATACATATGAAGGTGGTGTGCTTGACGGCCATCTTTGAATTCCGTTTCACATCATTAACAACGATCACAGTATTTACCACTTTATTTTCATAAAAACATCAAATCTACTATTACTGTAGCTGTGCTGTAGTCACCTGACTGATCATTAACATCAAGTTGCTCTATACAACCACATTTACTTTCACTTTAGTGTTATGGAGATGTTGCTTTCCAGTTATTTGAAGTGTGCAAACAAATAAAAAAACAAAAAAAACAAAGAAGAAACTTCCTTGCAACTTGTCTGTAAAAGCTTGTCCAACAACGTGCAACGGTGGTTTAAAAAGGGATTAGTTCCTATTTTGTTCCTGTTCCGGCAAAAGTTAACAATACAAATACGCAAACTGTTGTTCTGTATTTAAAGTAGTATTAAGATTTGGAAAACATCCCAGTTTGCAAGCATTGCATTATGCCATCAAAATGGTTTTGACCTGCTGTGGTTTGATCACATGACCATTTCATATTTAGCTGTGAATATTTAGCTGTGGGGCATGTTGTCGATCGCCTGGTGGCCAGGCTTTGACCCATGGAGCCTTCCATTGGCGAGGCGGCTTCCCGGAGTTGCAGTCCCTCAGTCCTTCAAGTACCTCAGGGTCTTGTTCGCGAATGGGGTTAAAATGGAGCGGGAGATTGACAGGCAGATCGGTGCGGCGTCAGCTGTAATGCGGGTGCTGTCTGTCTTTATGAAGATAGAGCTGTTCTGCATATGCATTCAGTTTCAAATTAGTTACATATTTAAATGATTTGGAGTCACAAATAATTCCTTTTTGGGAAATGATGCTCCCCTTTGCCGAATGTTGCGCTCTTTCACTTTGAAAGAGTCCTGATTTGCTCAGTTTTGTTAGTTTTTTCATCGAAGCCCCATCCACTCAGCTTCACTCTGGCAGAATCCGGGCAGACAGAAAATCACTAAAAAAGCAAGAATTCATCCAGCCGCTTCTATCTCCTGTCATATCATCAATAAGAACTGGTGTGACTGGAGGGCCCGCTCCCCGTACCATCACACTACCTAACCGTGTTCTACAGGTGTTGTTGCATGCTTCATGAGCCTCATGAACTGAGCTGTTTTTGCTCCTTAAATGATTTTTAATCTGTTCAAAGAGCGCTGCATCAGAACTGGTGTGAAAAACATGCAAACTAACAGAAAACAATTTCGGTGTCCAAATTGCTGTCTGCACAACCACATATGTAATTACTAAACTATGAACAACTGGATTTGAGCCAATTCAATGTTCATACCAGGATCCGTTCTTTAAATCACTGTCACATTTAAATGTCACATCAGCCTTTGATCGTTAAGTAAAATAGCAAATTAATGACAACAAAGTATCTATCTATCTAAATGGGAGTGTTTAAGGCATTGTTACTATAGAAAATCTCAGAGAAACTCAAATGAACTATAACAGCCAGCAAACCAAACAGGATTTCTTTTAACTGCTTATACCTGAGATGATACATTACACGTTGAAGGCTCACTACAGATATGAAGTATGTATATGACCTAAAGCTGCAGACTGAGCCGTCAACATTGTTAAATGTTGCTCCTTAAATTTCTTGTCAGGGATGAGGTATTGGCTTATTGCCGGTCTGTCTGGCCGTGGCAAAGTGTATCATGTGTCCGCTACACTCAGCTGATTTTTGGTGAGGGTTTGCAGGAGTATCAGGTGAAAACTGTGTCGGTTTTGGCAGCGATCCTTTACATGCAGTACAAAATCCACCACAGGTGAGGAGGGGGGCGGGGTAACTTACCCCCTCCATCCACTGAACGCAGACTTAACACTGCCAGATCTGTGATTGTGTCTTACTAACTCTTACTCTCGCTCAATGCCAGCTGGGATAGGCTTCAACCCCCACATGACCCTATGAGGAATAAGCATTGTGTACAATGGATGGATGTATTTGGGGTTTTCCATCATGTCACATGAATACTGCCTTTTATAAGATTTTTGCAAAAATGTGTCTCATCACATTCTCAGGCTGATGACGACATCGAAGGGATATCTGTAACACTCTGGGCTTGTTGACATGCTCTTTCTTTGCCCGCAGATCTACGAAGAATGACAGCGGGCTTTGTGGGAATGGCGGTGTCCATCATTCTATTTGGCTGGATCATCGGAGTGCTGGGATGCTGCCAGCAGCATGACCTCATGCAATATGTAGCTGGGCTACTCTTTCTCATGGGAGGTACAGTGAGAGGACATATGTCCACACCCACACGCAAGCACGCACACAAAATCCAATTTCATTCAATTTCCATGTTTATTTGGTGACAGCTGAGAGCACATTTAGGTTCATATGAGACAGCGGATCGATGTCCTGCTGTAACGGGACCCGCGTCCCACAGTAAAATGCAGAGTACAGGCAGGAGTTTAGTGATCGATCAGGAGCTGTTCTAAATCACTGTTTGCCTCATTTGCTCACGCAGGAACATGCTGCATCATCTCCCTGTGCACATGTGTGGCGGGAATCAACTTTGAGCTGTCCCGCTACCCCCGCTACATGTACGGCCTCCCCGAAGACATTAGCCATGGCTATGGCTGGTCCATGTTCTGTGCCTGGGGCGGCCTTGGCCTCACGTTGCTGGCCGGCTTCCTCTGCACCTTGGCTCCCTCCCTGAGCACACCTGCTCGCACAACAACCCACAAGCCAAGGCAGGAGAACGGAACCGTGTGACAGGGAGCGTCCCCGCAGCGACCGGCCCCCGCCGGACACACAGACCGCACCCCCTTCAACGTTGATGTTTAACTCTCAAACTGTTTTCGTCGAATCACCATATCACGCAGCACCCCTCGACATGGCCACCCCCTTCCAGTGTTCAGTGTGCCTGAGTTGTGACGGAAGCGGCAAAGTAACGGCAAGCTTCCCACGCGTACTGTAGTCTTGAAAATCCTAGAGGGACCTCCAGGAACACTGAGAGCAACATGTACAGCAACAGACGGCTGGAGAACGGCTCTCACAGCACAAATAGGACTTTTTTTGTTTGTTTTTTTTGGTTGTTGACATGCCTTTTTTCGGTGATCTAAAGGTGACTGTTTTCTCTGAAGAGAATTTGTCTTAAAATGGTGCTCTTTGAAATACATAAAGCCACACACAAACACACACACATACACACACACACACACTATACAGGACATGCTCACCAGCTTCCTCACACCTGCTCAGTTCCTCTGGATAAATCATCAGAGAAATCCAAAAGCGGGAACGAAAATACAACAATGAGGCCAGAGCATCCTGTCGTCATTCCTCTTTCATTCGATGATGTGAGTTGTTTTTTAGATTTTCTTTTTTTAAAGTGCTGGCAGTGACTTCATAGTGCTCATTTTTTAGTGAAGCACACCAACATTTGTCCGGGTTAGACGTCTGCCTATTATGGATTTTGCAGTGGAGTCAGTGTGATAAAAAAAAATATATATATACAGAGGTAAATTTTCCCTGAAAAGTCAACTGATGCTAGTTTTGAACAGTGTGTGTACAAATGCACCTCTATTCAGATCCAGTTTCTTGTCAGCGTGAAGAAGATTTTTAATAAGACAGTTTTTTCTGTTCCTGTCTGTAAAAAGGTAATGAAGACTGACAGCACGGAGGTGAGATGAATCCGTTTCTGATTTTCAGAAACGTGATGTTTTTTTTCTTTTTTGGGGTACTAAACACGACAGCGCGTAAACATCACAGCAGATGAGAGATGCTGTGCTGTTTCTGCTCTGACAGTCCCAGTTGATTGCTGGCAGCTGAATCACAAACTGTTAAAAGAAGAAACATATGAAACCAAACTCTAGAGGAAGTATTAATTTATTATTGGTCAATCTTTTTTGTGTGTTCTGGAAAAAAGCATTTCTTATGGAGTCCCACCTCTACAGAAGCACAATCAAAATCCTCCCCTGAACTAAGTCCAACAATTTAAGAATATCAAACACTGGTTAACACTACACTTTTCCACCTTTAAAATCTGATTATTTCTTCATTGACTTGATTGTTTTTCTGCGTCATAACATCATAAAGTAAAATGGTACAACATTTCCTCTTATTATCATTATAATCACTATTCTCTTTTTGCTTGATGCTATTTTTATCCATAGGATAAAATGTTGTCCCAATCTGGCATTGATAAGAACACATGCACACAAATTAGACAATGGCCATTTACATTTACAATACATTTACATGTATTTTCTTTTAATACCGTCAAAAAAGAAGACAAAATCTGGCACCCCTGCTGTGTTGGGGCTCCATAATGAAATAGCTGGCTTTTTAAATATTGTGTAAATGGATAAAAAAGAGAAATCTTAGAAAAATGGCATTTTTTTGGTTTACAAAGTTGTGTGTTTGATACAGTGTGGTATGGGATGGAGTGCAACCAGAGGGAATAGAGAACGTTAAACACAAGGACATGGATTATCCTGCAGTTTTGAGCAGACCTTTTTGTGATTCTTTTTGTGGTCCCTCAGTGACCAGAACTGATTTATTAACAAAAAAAAAAAGGAAGTTCATCATACATACATATTGCAGCCATGTGTGATGACATTTATATAAGTGTTGATTGGCTGAGATAGATTGTGGAATACTCTCTCAGCTGTGTCAATGAACTCTCTGAGAAAAAAAGTGTTACAATGTGTTAATAACACTGTGTGTGATGTTCAGTCCTTCCACCATCACCATTAACCAGGAAATGAACTGAGGCATGATCAAAATCAGTATCTTCAGTGTCTTGTTGACTCTTTGCACTTTGGTGCATCTCATTAAAGTCGGTGAGCCCGGGGTGAAAGCCAGTTACACATTACATGTTTGCAAGATTACACATGAGAGCAAAGGATGATCAGAGCATGCAAGAAACACCCTGTTTAATTTTTACAAAAAGGTTTTTCTGTTTTTCAACCATGCTGTGCATTCAGGGTGGTCTGTCCAGGCTCTCATTAGGAAAAATCAATGCCTGAAACTGGGGCATAATATAAATGTGGAAATATGTCGGTGGCTGTTACACTCGAAACTGAATGAAACGATGTTTGGTACTTTCATTCTCTACGGTTTTACTGAAAACAGTAGTGTAAAACTGTAGTGTATAAGTGCTTGCTTCAAGTATACTGTGTCATTCCGACCGAAGCACAGCTGTGCACAGGTTTTTTTGTGTGTTATTGGTGGGAAAAATCGGACTTTTCTAGCTCTGGTATGCCTTCATGGTTTTACAAGCAAAATTTTTAAAGCACATACTTGTCCCCTTCCCCAATGCCTCAAACACAAATGCACGCATAAGACACGCTGCGGTGTCTGCATTTCCAAGCTGATGCTGAAAAACAGCAGTACACAGTAGCAAAGTCCGTAAATTAAAGAAAATATGAGGTCATCTGGACAGAACAATGAGTTTGAAATAGTTTAAAATCCCAAAAGTGGGAGGACCTTTGTACTACGTGCAGTGAAAGATGCCCTGCATAAAAACACCACTGTTTAGAGTGGTACTTGTTTAAGTAGCACAGCCATTATTTTCTACAAGTCATTTCTACTGGGTGTATTCACTTCAGGTGTTGTGTGGGAATAAAAAAGACATTACAGTCTTGCATGATCTCATTACAGTTAGTTTCTTTCAATATATAAATAAACTTGTGTCCATTTTTAACTGATTTATTTTAATGAAATAAAATATGTAATTATTAACATGTGCCTTCGTGCCTTTGTACTTTCGCCTTTATCTTGCACGCCTGTCTGTGAACCATCCCCACTGATATTTGCTTGAAAGCACTTTTACTTTTATGTGCAACGGAAATTGAAAATATTCACTGTGACAGAATGAGATGAATGTCTGACAGAGGCAAGAAATAATCATGGCAGCAGCCTCTGGAGGCGAGGCATGGCCTTTTGTCACTTAGGACATGGTGCCATCTAGAGGAGGGATTCGAAGTTTTTCATTTGCTTCAGGCTGATCCGGCGAAAAGACTTCACTACAGGCCCTTTAACATGCTTCACATTTAGAATAAAAGAAAAGTATGAGTAGAAGTACCAGCGCAAAATTCTGTGAACAATAATTTAAGTTTTCCCAAAAGCCCTGTAGTTTAATATCTCTTTTTGCATGTGTCTTTAAAAATAGTTAAAGTGATATGAAAAAAGAAGAAAAAAACAGTTTTGCTTTCTAGTTACTATACACCGCTGTAGTTCAAAAGCTCAGTTAGATAAGTTATCAATAAATGCTCTCCAAAAGCTAAATTCCAACAGGAATGGTTTTTCAACAGAGAATTTATTAAAAAAAACAGTTGTTGAATGTTAAATTACATACAGTAACATCTAATGTTGCATCCAACAGTTACCTCTTTTATCTGTCACACCAGAAAAGTACTTAAGTTTTTAATTTTATCAAACAAACAGCCAAAAAGTACCAACACATCAGAGTACAACCGTTTCAACCCTAAAAAGCCTGATCCAAGAAGACAGTTTTATCTGAAGTTGTTTTTCACTTTAGCGAAATATGAAAAAACAACAAACAAATGTGAACACAGGTTTTTTAATCAAATGTATGGATATTTTGTACACATTGTACTGTAAAAAAAAAAACCCAAAAAAGGAAATATTTTATATCCCAGGGTTTTTCCTGTTTATATGAAGGTGCAATAGGCCTAAGAAATCTGTACCAAATATATTACATGCGGCCCTAAGAGGTAAAAGGAGAGTATGCTTGACAATTGATGACATTAAGCTCATTGCCAGTTATTTGCAGAGCAGCAATATCTGCAAATTGTAGGCAGATACAGTTGTGTTTCCTTTAGAATTTGAGGTAAAAAGGGTTTGTGAACTACATGCTGATTCACTGACAGAGAACAGTTTGCTCGGATGAAGTTTTTTGCACTACTGCCACCACTTTGAGAATCTACTTCTTACCGCGGTAATGAGCACCGACCACCATGTAACTGTCGGGTGAGACATTCAGGTTTGGTGGCTTTGCTTTGCTTCGACAGACCCCGACCTCCGATCTGCTGACCGGCGCTCTTCCGCCTCGGCAGGGGTCGTGTTTCTGCAGGTAACTCAAAAAGGTCTCCCATCCCCCGCCAACACGCACCATCACATGGCGCTCATTCAGCATCTGTTAAAGGTGAAACAAAGCAATACAATCAGAAAGGGAACACTCGGGAATATATTTTGTGTCTTACCTGGATGTATTTGAATTTTCAGTAGATTGAAGATCGCACACACATAAACACACAAAGACCCATCACTCATATTTTACAAGCTTCTTGCAAATGATCTCTCGGACTGCTTTGTAAGAATCTCATTATTCCAAATGAAACTGCACATTGTGCCACCAGATGAGCACACACACAGAACTAATCCACACAACCTTATGCAAGCACACACACAGTGACGCACAAGGGTGCTCCCATCTACAACACAATCCACATAATAAGCAACGTTTTTAATTGAAGGATCACCGCACAGCCACAGTTTGAGGGAGGTCAGGTGTATTTGCATCAATACATCATTCTCAGCCGTCCGTCCTTTTTTCCTGAACGCAAACTGCAACCATGGCAACTGCGGCCACAATATGATGCCTCGAAATGAAGAAATGGCAGAAGGAGAAATTGAGATGAGTTCAGCAAAGACCCTCAGGGTCCCACAGGACAATACCAATCCCGGGGGGCCTTCCAGAGCCATTCTTCTTTCCTTCCTGCGCCGGCCCACCACCTCCCGCCCTACCGCCAATAAACTCTTCATTACGGAGCCATTAAGAATGTGATAAAACAAGCAGATCCGCTTCACTAATGTGTGGAGGCGTGTGCTGCATGTATAGGCCGAACAATCAATGACACGTTCACAAACACGTGGACAGGCAGCGACAGAGGAAACTCCAGACGAGGTTCTCCTCAGATGTCATCCTGCAGATTAAAATGTTGGGGTTGACAGGGGGTCAACCCTGACATCCTGCAAAAAGCACTTCCCTGTCAGATGTGGAGGCAATAGCAATCTGACATGCCTCTGTTAAACAAAAAATATTTCAGATTCAGCCAAAGTAAATCTAATAAATATAATGGCATCTTTTCTGTTGGCTGATATTTCTATTAAATTCAGTCTTATTAAAAAATGGTTATGTTATCCTGTGCTTTATACATGAAAATATTTTTAATATCAGCTGCATTTTGTCAACCCTAAGGTGAAAAATACGCAGTGAAACATTTTAAGGGAACCATCTTTTCAGACAGACATCCTTTATTTCTGTCTCTGTAACCCCCCCCCTCTCCTTTCAGGTCTCCATACAAAGTGTGCTACGTCTGCATCCCATAAACCACCGTCTGGATTCCCATGTGTCCTCCCCTGGCAGCTCCATTGATTCCCCCTCTCTCCCCTGTTGAAATATGCATGAGGGGGGGATCACTTGCCAATAGGGGGCAGGGTTTAGCCACAACCATTGCTTTTGTAGCTGCTTTGAAGTACACCCAGTACTGCCATTAAAATAATAGTGTGAGCAGAATTACAGGAGTACCAATGTCTTACTCTCCTCTCTGTTGTACTGTAATTTGGTTTCTTTGGCACAAAATGTGCAGACCTTTGGAGGCTTTCCTAGATGCAAGTTCATAATTATGTCGGTAGCTATCATTATTTAGTAACAACAGCTGTGAAACAAATATCTAACGGTTACAGATGTGGCAACTTCGGTCAATTAAACTAGAGTTTTCATGTTGAAAGTCTGGCAAGTTCTCCCTTCAATAACCCCTCTAGCCTGGCTTTGTTGATCATTAAAACGCAGCCACTCTCTCATCACACTGAGTAAATGATATCTAGAAGAACCCAGTGTACCTCATTAGTGCGTTCAGTGCTAACACGCTACCCCTCTGACATTTCACAACAATCATGTGGTTTCTGAGATTTAAATCGCACATGATAGCTTAATGGAAGTTTAAAAACATAGAATGAAATGAGACGAGTCACTTTGTAAATGACTGGTAATGAGAAATAATAGATTTGATTCTTTGTTAAATATTTCTATTTTTTCACCCTCCGTTTAAAACTCAGAGGTCAAAATAAGCCGAAAAACAAACACCGGAGAAATGACCAGAACAAGATCAGAGTTCCTGTCTTGTTCAAGACCACTTGAGAACAAAAGAAATGGAAGATTAATATAATGGAGAAATAAATTAGGTTATATGATATTGTTTTACTCAGCTATGTAATATTCAAAATAAGGTTTCTTTCATTTTGGGTCTTTTATCTTTTCCATCCATGGCCACAGTCATACTCTAACCCTGATACAAAGCTGAAGGAGAGCCTAATTGGGCACAGAAAGAAAGAAAAGCCTTCCTCTTTTTCAACACCAAAGAATGGAAAAGCACTCCAGGGCCAGAATGATTGAATAGACTCCAGAGGGAATAGAGACGGGGGGGGGTGGGTGGGGGAGTGGGTGGTTAGGGAGGGTCGGGTGTAAAGTTGACATGTGAGGAGGGGCGGTCATGCTCAGCCGCTCATTAACAAGCTGTCTGATTAAACCCCTCGCTAATGACTTTGTCTCGCTAATCAATAGTATCTGCTCTTTAAAAAGGTCCGTACACATTGAGTGGGGAGCTCTCTCAGCAGCGACAAGAAGGGTTATCATTGTATATGGTAAAAGGAGGTTTAGGCCACGTTTCCCTGCTCACATGTGGACGTGTGTGATTCAAGCTAATGGATGGCTGGAGGGTCGATGGGTTTTCATCGCTCTGTTCAAACAGCTGAGGTGGGCTTTTTTTTGTCTGCTATGAAGAGGAAAACGGAAGGGAGTAGCACAAGTATTGACCATAAACTGGTCATTTTAGCTGCAAACAGACAGCAGGATATGGTTTTAGCCAGACCCTGAATCTGCAAGACAAACACAATGAGCAAGACAGCTAAAATAAAGAAGAAATCCTTCAAATGTTTCCGTCTCCCCTCAAGCTGTTTATATTCAAATCTTTTGCTCCGCCGTGGTTACCGTGTCCTCTTTGCCTCCGGTGTCTTTGATGTGGTGCTCAGACATGTGCCTCCGTGTAACTGACAGCTCTGCGGTGGTGAAACAGGTGTTCTGTGACTTGAAGGGGTTTTGATCTTCTCTAAATGGACAGTGAAAATATGCTGTCTGTCAGGCAAAAATGGCTGCAACAAACTCGTGCTGACGGCGTTATTATGCGGTTCAGAGACTGTTGACTAAATGAAGTTTTTTTGCGAGATCTTTTATGTACATCTGCTCATGAGCCAAAAACTGTGGTCGGATATCTATGACCACTGTTTTGAGATACAATTTGAGCTCTGTTTTTATATTAAAAAAGAACCGTGTCCTCACAAAATATATGCGTAGCAGTTATCATCTTTTTTTCAAAACGACGATGATAAAGGGCCAGTGAAATAAAACTCAATGCTCATGTTTAAAACCTCCCCTTCACAGATGGACTTTGGCTCCCGAGTGGCTTGCCATTTAAAAGCTGCCCACTGGAGGTCACGTCTTTGCAGAAACCATCCACAGAGAGACGTGTTTGTTTTCCTCCAGGTTTGTACTCTCGGCTGAAGGTCTATGTCCTGAATACAATCATTGTCAGCCCTGTCTTATCCGGACCATTGGTTGCCAGGCAACTCTGCCTCCCATTCCTTGAGCCTCCGAACAGACGCGAGCGGGTGGAGCACGACTGAGGGAGAGTAAAAAGCAGAGAGTGGTCTGAAAGCGGTCGCTCTGACATATTGCACTTGTTGCTGACTCAACCGTTGATGAATAACCTGAGGACTTTCTCATCTCAAATCGTATGTGCACCTATGGCACATCTTAATTGTGATGGGTCATTAAAATCTTCAGGTTACAGTCCAACTCTCACTTATCAATTTTCACCATAGAGAGGTTTTCAATTGTTTTACTAGTTTGACACTATATTTGGAAAAAAAACAAGAAAAATTTAACAATAATCATCTGATCAATTCATCCATCCATCCATTATCGTAACCGCTATATGATCTGACCCACTAGTTAGATTTCCGCCTTTGTTCTGTCTTATTGTGTTTATTGTTTCATTGTGCTTTGGTTGCACCTTTTTAATCTTTCTGTATGGAACTTTGTGAACCTTGTCTTCATCTTAATTTTGTGCTGTATAAATAAAGATGACTGGATTGGATTGGGTAAAAAAAAAGTTGCACTCTGGAAACTATTTGATTTTGTTTTTTGGTGTGTGAAACTATCTTTCAGTGTTTCATTGCTAGAAGGTAACAAACAAAGCTGGCCGAGAGATTCTTACTCGAATGTAAAGAACTTTGTCCCCGACACGGTAGCAGCCTTTGGGTTGCTTCTCAACAGGGAATCTGGTAGGACAGCTGCAGGGGGGGCTCTCAACAATGTTCCTCACCTAAAATAGATAAGACAGAGAACAGAGTGTCATCGGGAAATATTTCAGTTTCCATCTCAATTGGTTGAATGTCACTTAAGGTACCCACAATATCGTCCAAAACACTTGTGCTTGTGCTCTTCCGGCTTGTGGATTTGTTAGATGAGCGAGAAACGGCCGTGGCTGTAGAGGTGATGGTTGGTGCAGCTGGTGGGGGGGGTTTGTCTATTGTGGTGGGGCAGACTTTGGCCGTGGATACTACAGGTGGACCTGGTGATGCTGCTGACGGCAAAGCTGAGGCAGATGTGTTCGTGGCGGAGGACGAAGAGAACAAAGGTGTTTGTGTTGAAGCTGCACTTGTACAAGGGTTAGAGCCTGAGAGGGAGGGCAGAGGAGGGGAAGAGCATGTGGGCACCGGGTTTATTGTGGCTGATGGAAGATCAGACGAGAGGGAGGCGGAGAGGGGTTCAGGTAGACAGGTTGTGCTCTGAGCGAGAGGAGCAGGTGGAGTGCTGGGGGCTGAGGGGAGGGAGGATTGCGATGGTGAATACAGCGATGTGGGAGGAAAAAATGAAAGGGGGGATGATGGAGATAGCAAGCCCTCCTCCCTCTCTATCTCTCTTTCCAACTTCACCAGCCCTGGTGGCTCCACTCCATACCTAAAGGTGGAGTTCAGAAGAAAAAAACAACATATTTCTTCTGATAAACCCACTCGAAATCACACAGCAGAGAAAAAGAATCTTATCTGATGGTACATAAACCTGCAGCTACTGTTCGAATCGAACAAAAAGAATGCATCTAAATCTTTTACAGAGATAAGAGTCCTTCTTCATCTTAACCTCCAGAGAGATCCAGCATCTCTGGGATCCTCTTTTTGTACCCAGTGATGTTACAGACACGTTGTCAATTGACCCATTTAGGTTCATGATGTCTGACAAAGTACTTTTACTAGAGCAAACAAAACAAAACACATTCCTAGATGGAAGACCAAAGCAACGAGAATTTTAGGAGCTTCGCTTTGAGAGACGTTGCTCTCTCATCGCTATTGCTAATGTCTGTTTACCTGGCTGCAATCCGTCCCACCTCCATCAGGCACAGGCACACCTCCCGAGGCTGCTTGTGCAGGACTTCACACAGTCGGTGCATGAAGAACAAACAGAAGGGTGGAGGGGCAGGAGGGGGGGAAAAGTCATTCATTTGAAAGGAGAGATGTTTCCGGAGATACACCGGTTCTGACAAAGGAAGACGGGAACAGAGAGGGCGGGTTTCAGGGAGTATCCCGACTCCATTGTGCATCTCTATCTTTAAAGGTGAGCAGGGATTCCTGTGGGCTCTGGCTTTACCGCTAAGGGCATGAGGGCACGAGAGGTTCGTCAACAAATCAGCCTCCAAAATCTGAAGGGGGGGGTGTGAGTTGTCAGGATTGTTGGGGAGGATTTACCAGCATATTATCATTCTCACGAATCTGCCGCCTTGCTTAGACATGCCCAGTAAGAAGCACATAAAGAGGAGTCTCGTACAGAAGCATACCAGTGGGTAGACTGAGCATTTCCTGCTCAAAGACACAGTGTTTGCATGTGAAGATCAGCTATGGCACTGTCACATCCACTCTGATCCTTGTGATGCACATAAGTAGTCTTTATACAGTTGAATAATGTGTCTTGACAGATTCTGTATTTATTCAATTCAAGCAGGACATATTATTTTGAGCCAACATGTGGACAAAATAGAAACAGAATAATGAACTGTGGAGAAATTAAAGAGGACATGGCATTCCCTTACAATAACTAAGCCACGTTCCAGACAAAAAGCATATTGGCTTTTTTGACAAAAGAGGAAAAAATCAGAGGTCTTTGAGCTAATCATGTAAAGCACAATCTCTGGCCTTGACTCACCTAAATCCTCAGACTCAAATAGGTAAGCCCCGTCAACGCCAATCTTTCGACACCAATAAAGGAAGTTGGCTGTGTTGTCTCGGGCAAAAAATGATCCAGACGTTGCATCAGCTCGCCACTGGATCACTCTTCTTACAAAAGGCTGTGATTAAAAGATGCACATACCCTGAGAGTGAGTGAGTCTGCATTTCACTCAGTCCTAAAGTTACTCTTTACTGGATTAGGCTGCCTTATGAATCTGTGTAATGACGCAGAAAATACACACCATCTTTAGAATAACATCAGTGTCAAAATGTAAGCTGTCTTAACCCGCTGAGACATCTTTCATTGTGCTGTGCACTTGTTTAGGCCACAGAGAACAAAATAGAAAAGAAATCTTGTTAAAACACAACAGTTCCAAGGTGAGGCTTAGTAAAAGAAAAAGAAAAAACCTGAAGCATGCAGCTCATGCAAAACCAGACAGTCTGACACTGGGTCTTTGATTTCTACTTATCTGCCTAAGTTTTTTGTTTTTTTTACAAAGCTCCAGCCCTACAGTTGAATGATTCCTGTAATCTGGGCAGAAACATGACTTATTTCCTGTTCTTTTTTATTTGACTAGGTTTTTATGATCAAATCATTAAATAATTGTTTTTTCTCTTTTCTTAACCATTATTTTCTGATTGGTTTGATTGAAATCATTAATATGGGGTGTTTATTGCCTGTTATAATATCTTAATTAGGTGTTTTTTGCACTGATCCTGTGTAGCATTTTAAAAATGTTTACAGTCTACTTTCCCGTACGCTCTGTAGTGAGCTTATTTGAGTAAAACATAATCACCACCCGCTGGAGAGGAAGTCAAACACCTGTATATCGTTCCCTACTATTTGGTGGTCAGGCAGGCATGTAATAAAAGTCCGAGCTGCTGGGGCTCAAACCCTGAACTGGCTATTTAGTGAATCTGCTGCATGTGGTTTGAACTCAACCCCTTTATCATTCGCTATTTGCTGATTAATTAAAACATAATAACAGCAAAATATGGAGTTTAGAACAGAAATTTGGCAAGCAATAGTAAGTGAGAGGAGGAAATCAGCAGAGGAAAAAGTAGCATGTCTGATTGCAGACATGCAGTTTAAGGAGAGAATAGTAAATATTTTTCCAATAATCCAGTGAGAACTCTGACAAAAAGGATTTAAAACACAAAAAAATTATTGCTCAAAGTGAGATTTTGTAATATATCCAGAAATTTTCAGTAAGAGTAGATAATTTTTTTATTTGATCTAATTAATTTAAAGTTTTTCTTTTGAAAGAGCATCAGAATAGCTTGGAAAGTGTGTTTCTGTCTTAATTTAGGAGCACCTTTCCACTGTTGGCATGGATCATCTTCTCTTGGAGCAGCTGTGCCAGCTGACAGAGGAGAATGCCGTTATCCAACCTCTCCATCAGAGTGTTTGCTGTGAGGTTCACACCTGAGTAAAATCCACAAACACACACAGGTCCTTTAAATAACATTTTACTATAATACTTGAATAAATGGGTTTTGTGAGCAACAAAAGAAGACGAATGCCGAGTTAGTTTGGAAAAAAAGACAAACTCATTCTGTATAGACGATTTGAAAAGAGTAGACAAACATATCATAATTTACATGTCTTTGGCACCTGCAATCCCCAAATTGACAGATTATTTTTTAAACCACGACATAAAGCCAAAGTTAATGATATACACTTTGTGCTTTCAAGTTAATCCCTTTTACTGGTCCAAAACCTGTTTGGACATATGTTGTGTCTTCCTTTGTTTTGTGGCATTAAAAAGAAATTCATCTTGCCTGAATCACATCCCTGGACAGGTTGAGACACATGCAAACTGTCTGTTTTCATTCACAATAAAGCAAAACATGGACGGGAACGTCTTTGCGTGGATTTGAAATAAGTAGGTTGATTTGCCTTTGTGTCAGAACAACCACTAGGTTTTGTAGCTTTTACAAAATAACATTATCAGGTCTTTTCCATCTATGGAAACCAAAAACTGGAGATAAAACACTCGAATATTGTGGCATGGATCTAAACTGGGAGAAGAGTCCTCTCACCCATCATGGTGTTGAGCCAGAGGGACAGGTCTTCTTTCATTGGCAGTAAGCTGGCATCGTGGCGGTTAGGCAACCACTGGCTGTACTCCTGAGGACTGGCAAGGCCCGGCCCAGAGTGTCTGTACTTTGGAGAGAGAAGACAGCTCATCCCAAGTCCGGTCAGGTGCCTCGGGCTCAGAGGACTGTCGAGGCCAGCGGTCATTGTTTCAACTTCCCCGTCCATTCTGCCCCTCCAGCTGGTCTAGGACAGATGAGTGGAACACATTGTATGAATCTGTTTCAGTATTTTCTAAATATTCTAAACTGTAATTCAAATAACTTGATATGCAACTGAGTTAAAAATGGGGGACAGGGATCCCTGTAGCACCAAGTTCAACAAAGATTAATTTCACATGTTCTAAAGTCCTGCAAAAAAGCTATCATGCATAATCTGAAAAGTCAGATTTTCAAATCCAGATATGAACATTGCAGCTGGACTCTGTGAAATTCTTCACCATGGGAGGCATTTTCCAAAAAATGTGTGGGCACTATGATGTGCAAACACATAAAAAACTCCGGTTATCAAAATACCAACTTCCATGTGCTGCGGAGGTGGTTATGGCTCAGAAGGAAGATATGTTCCAAGCATCCAACCATAAGAATCCTCATCAAGATTTTGTGAGAATAACATCTACTCTGATGTGAAAATACTAATATAAAAACGGCATTTGCCTCCTGTTGAAGGTGGCCCATTACTGGATGCTATCATGGGCGAGTGAGTATCCATCAACAGTAACACATTGCCTGTTAGACTGCATCAGCAGGAGGAATTATCTCAGTTTTAAGATGAACATACATCCTTAAAAAGGGCCATCAATTAAGCAAATCTATGGTATCATCTCTCCCTCTAATCCTAACTCTGGAAAATTGGGCAAAGAAGAATAAACATCCTCATATCACAGAAAAAGTGACCTTTCTAACTATAGGGCAATGTTAGAGCAAATTCTCCTGTCATGGCCAAGGTCCGATCAGTTTATTTTTTATGCTAAATGAACGTATGTGCCGAATCATTAGAAATGATATCGTGGGTGTCAGGTTTTCAAGGTGTGTACAGTGTGCTATTTGGTGTGGAACAAGGAGCACTCGACACCAACAAAAACAAGAATGCATGTTGAGACCAACTGCAGGGGCTGCAACAGAGCCCCCTGTGTGCTAGCTCCGCATTTAAAAATCAAACCACACTTTACACACAACCATCAATCAAAGGGATTAAACTGACTGACTGCAGACAGCTTGTGTTTAATAAGATGTACAGCCCTCGCCCTGAGCCGGTCTCATGGTGCTGCTGCATGGCTCATTTGTCCTGTTCCCAGAGCAGGTTCCATCATAAAGCTCGGCCCCCATGCAGAGACATGCTCTGGCTGCTACACTCGCAGCTAATCAGCTGGAATTAGGTGACCGTTTATACAGTGGGTCACTGGGCCTGCTGAGTAATATAGAGGGAACACAAAAGGCTTTCTCTTTGCAAAATGAATTTCTTTAAAATGTCAATGTGAAGCAACAAGCCTAAGCAAATCTCCACGCTAGCAGTAGTGCGTTAAAGCAACACAAAGTGATGGTTGGGGAGTGTTGTATCAGTTGCTTGTATGACTTGAAACAGGACTTTGTACATCCTTATAAGGAAAGCATTTAGTAAGGCATCTCAGAAGCCAAAAATATATTTTTTTATTGTGGTCATAATCAAATATCCCTCAGGTAAACAGAGCGTAAAAGTGCATTGGAATTCTTATATTACACAAATTTGCAACAACTATCTTTAACAACACAACACCATTTTATTTACTGGCTTCCCATATGGCTGTGTATGCACAACTTGAAGTTACATTTTTCTGACACTGCACCCCCACTATTGGAGCCCTCAAACATACCCCCCCAAAAAGTAGTTTTTATGTATTTGAGTAAGTGAAAGAAATTTTCCAAGTTTTTGTAAAAGTCCATTTATTAAACTGACTTTTTTTTCTACCAGGCGCATCGTCATTCACTCCACCATTTATTTACACAACCCAACTCATTCATGACGGCTTCCATGGGGGGGCAGACGCTCATCCAAAAAAAAATCCTCCACAGACTGGCCATTGTACATGTATAGTGTTTGGTTAAAAGTTCAGTCCGGGAGTTTAATCAGTCCAACATGTCCGCATTCATACATACTGGTAGAGTGTTCCACTAGCATATATCCCTGCAAGCACCGTTTGTGATTACATTTAGTGGACGTGTAACTTTCATGATCCTATTTTCTTGCCGCATAAATAAACAGACCAACACACATAACACTGGTGCATGCAGGCCGTATCAGCAGCCCATGAGAGCCTGTCTCTGACAAAACATCCAGGTGCAATATTCACACGTCTGCTACAGGATGGCTCTGCTGGGAAGGCGGGGCAAAGGTCACCCACAGGTCCGACTCTCAGACACTAGCCGTCTTTATTTTCCCGCGGAGTCCACATCTGTAAGCACACACCGGTGCCCAAGCACACACACACACAAACACAGGTCCACGCATGCATGGGTCTATTCCACCTCATTTGCTTTACCCAACCTTGGATGCTCCCTAAAATAAGATTGGCTTCAGTCGCATCTCACAGCCTTTAATTGTCTTACGAAACCGGCATTTTTTTCAATCTAACCGGCTATTAGATGGAAAACAGCTGAAATTACACACCGGCCTACCTAAAGGATGCGTGCAAAAGGACGGTTTCGAGGAGAATCGCTGGCTCAAATAGCTGAACATGTGCGGTGTGTACGTAAGATGACAGAGTGATTGATGATTCGGGTGGATGTTCGTCAGCAGGGCTCTGACACTGGCGTCTCCAGAGAATGAGAGCTTGAGTCTGCCAAACGGTTAACTTCGCAACTAGTTAACAAATATCTGCCTCCAAACATGGCAGGCACAGAACATATATTTATTGAGGCGGGGGGGATGGGGGTGCAAGGATGGGAAACTGAATGACTGATCTTTTCTGTCACATACTGCACGTGTTTCCAAAGACTTCAGAAGAAGCTTAAATTGGGTTTTAGTGTACCCTAAAGGCTCGGGTGAAACAGTCGTTCTATGTGTGTGTCAAATGTTTGAAAGAACTATTCATAGACTTTCAAGATTTATAGCTTTGACGATGTCCAACAGCACTGCTGTTAGCATCAGCTGTCTCAGGTGTCTTTTGGGGGATTGCAACACCTTAAACGAGGTCAAATAACAGTGGCGGATGAACAATAGTTATTGAATGGATATTACTGAATAGTCAAGATGTTGGTTTCACTTCTAGCCACGCTCTCCCGTCTCGCGCTTCCCATCACTTGCTTCTAGACTAAATAAACCCCATATCAACACAGGATGGAGAAGTCTGCTGTTCATACACTCAGAACAGTCGACACTTGTGCTCCTCAAGTAAAGTGGAACCCAATAAAACACAAGTTTAGGTCTAAGTTTTAAAAATAAATAAATCTTTCATTGAGGGCTTTCAGGTAAATCAAACAGAAAAATCTGTTCACTCACGTAACTCTGCTTTATGATATTTAGCACTTCAGTTATAATACTGTTAATAAATCTTACATGCACACAGATTTACTCTAGTGTTAAAGCAACTTAACTTCTTTTCTGATTGAAATTTTAACTTAGATTTTGCAAATCAAAGTGGAATTTGTCAGAAATCTTAACACAAATAAATAATTCAGTCATCTTGGAAGAGTATTTAGAATTATGAAGGTCTTCGGCTTTCCAAAAGAAGATAATAAGCTATATTTCAACAAAATCCACAAGATATTACCTCTGTCACGCATCAGCATTGACAACTTTTTCTGTTATGAACAAAGTTGCTCTTACCTAAAAGTTACTGCTGGATTCTTCCAAAGACGTCCTTCTTTTTGAGAGAAGGCTTTCTTCACAGCGTCTTCTCCTCACATACAAACGCACACATCCCTCCCAACCAGATGTTCGTCGCCCTCAGGTTCACCACATGTAAGTACACAACACTGGAACAAGGGGAGAGTTAAAACAAACCCGTCCTGCACACGCCTGTGAGTATTTGGTGTCAGTTTACAGCAGCATGAGATTGGACAGAGAGACAGAGGCAAAGGTAAATTTGTGTGATTTCTTGAGGTTGTGGGCTAAAGAAAGTTTTAAAAGCGAACCTGTCACACAAACAACAACTCTGACTAAACGTTAAATTTCCATTTCTAACATCAGCAAAAATAGTTGATTACTCAGTTAATTAGGTATCCATGGCATATCTATATATATAAAGAGAGAGAGAGAGAAAGAGAGAGACAGAGAGGGGAAAACTGCTATTTGTTCTTTTTAAGCCAAAGTAACTTTAATGGAATGATCAAGCAACAAAGGCTAATAAAATAATAATATCAGATCAAATAACCTTATTTTTTTCCATAAAGACACAGTGACATAATAAGTAAAATCATAAAAATAAATCATAAACATAACCTCATTTATTTGAAGGTTGACCTGTCTCACAAACATTATTTATTCCATGTGTTTGGCGGCTTCATGTCCTCGTTTTTTAGCCCTAACCCACTAGCAAATGCTCCTCATTCTGGTGCAGTAGTCTGATCATTTGTGCACTGTTGTGTCTGTATCACAGCATTAATGAGATGCTCTGGTCATGGGTTCCAAACAATCTGTCCAGGTGTGTGAAAACAGGATTACTGCCAAGCATTCAAAAACAAGAATAGGATGCGTTTTCGCCAATACAGAGGTGGGATACGCCACAATCCCCGTACTACTTTCTGGCTTGGATTTTAATGAACCTAAATAAATCAGCACGCTTTAATAATTTGATGCGGACTCAAATTAAAACCCTATTCTCTGGTTGTAAGATGGTTAGTAACAAATAAGTATTATCATTCCTGTTTCACCAGTAGTATGTGGAACCCGTCCAAAAAACACGAGAACTATTTATTTTCATTCCAGTGCTAATAGGCTGTCATGAACAATCAGTACGTAATTTATTTATTTATTCTTTTTTTCTTTTTTTTTGCTACAGAGAGCAGCTTTATTCTTCCATCAGTCGGGTCGATGGCGGAAGCAGCAACAAGATAAGCCCAAAATTCTTGTCATGTGTGTGGACATGGGGGTTTGTAGTCCCAGGTGTTGTTCTTGGTTCATTTGTGCCGTGTCCCTCGGGAGGAGTCCCTCATGTAGCCGCATCTATCAGGCACCGCTTTCCTCCTCCATAAGTGCTGACCCCGTGCTCATTTTCACTGCTTAGCATTCATCTGACCTATGCTATTGTGAATTTTAATGAGCCTATGTGCTGATGAATTGCCCCCTCTTAATGCAACTGTCATAAAGGATTAGATTTCATCAAAACCTTTTCCAATCCTCCTTCTTGTGCTTCCTCCCCCAACCTCGTTGTGTTACTTTTTTTGTGTGTCTAAGCTGTTTACTGTAAAACAGTAAACATATCCAGTGTGAATCACATCCTGTTTCTGTTCCAGAGGCTGAAAGAGCCTCTGAGCTGGTATGGAGCAGCGGACATAGTGATGACTTTTTAAAGGCTTGTTAAAGTTAATCTAACAATGACTCAGGAGCGCCCACAGAGTTAACGAACGGTCCCAAAGCATCTGGAACACAGCCCTGATTATAAAAATCCAGACAACACAGTCACGCTGTGGTTTATTTCCTTTAAGTGTGAGGCTGGTTCGTGTCCACATCTTTCAGATTCACAGGGGATTACTGTGTGTGTCAGAATATTTCTTTAACAGCCACTATGAAGCACATCATAGTAAGAAATTTGTGATTGCTGCTGTAGTGTTGTACTAATGATTACTGTTTAACTCATGACAAGTGATGAGTTGTGTACCTGTTTTAAGGTGAAAATGTGAGATCTTTACAGTCCAAAATGTAAATAAGTATATGTTCAGTCACATTTGAGATTTCCATTAAACCCCCAAATCACGCGTGCTGTTTCAGTACCAACAGCAGAGACATGGATCCTTGTATATTGACAGGAGGTCTGTCTGGCATTGAAAATATGATTGAATTAAAACAATGTCTCAGCAACACCATTTGGATCACCACTCTCATGACAGATGGCATCATAGGTTGCCAAGACGACCAAACCCTAATCTAAGCCTTCATCGTGTCCCCCCTGCCTCTGTGCTGGTGGTGTGGCAGAGGGGGTTATAATTCAGGCGAGCACCATGTGCTGTGTACCACTGAAATTGGTCCCCAGGGTCAAGAGGACCTGAGGCCCATCAGATGGGGACACACTTATTAGGGACTCACAAGTGTTTTATCATTCTGTCAGATTAGAGCAGATCTAATTTTGAGGTAGGATGAGGTGTGTCAATGTAATTGAATGTTATTTTTTTTGGTTTTGTGCATATCTGTGCTTGAAACATTCATGTGTTTTTTTCAGTTTTTTTTTCAATTTTCATTCATATAGTTACACATTGCTTGTCCATCAAGTGCATATGTAAAGGATGACAGTGTTATGTGTTTTTGTTGAGTTTTTTGTGTACTTGTGGAAAACAAATTTGTTGGGTTAACTGCTCAGACCAAATAGTTATGAGACATGTTTCTGAAACCATCTTGGATCTCAAATTTGTATTCAAAGCACTCATAATTGTGTATTTTTGTATTTGTAAGAGGCTGCTCAAAGAAATCCCTTGAGAATCTGACTTTCACAAAAAAAAAAATGTTTAAATGTGATGTAATGTGAAGAAATTTTAAACAGAACAAGGAAGCTTATTGGCATGTTGTACATCATAGACATACATCCAAGTGAAGCCATTATTTTTCTCTCCTTAGATGAAATTAATTGTGATTTTCATTTCGTGAGAATAAAACCTGCTTCAGTCTTTCAGTGGCTGTTTGGCAGTGAGGCACAGATAAAACCAGCTGATAAATAATATGTCAGCTTGTCCTCATGACAAATGAACACTCATTACCACGGCTCAGGCTGGGAGGATAGGCAGTAGCTGCAGGGCAGACCTTTACTTTAATCAAACTACCTGTCACGCCAACCCTCTAATTGTGTTGCCGGCTTTGAAATTACTATGTTACCTTTGAGTCTGTGGAAAGGCACAAGGGAAAATAAATAGACCTATTTATTCTTCTATTGTGCTGATTTGGTGTTTATGATATATAAAAGAAAGCAACATTTACTGATACAGAATTTTGATAAAAATTTAAAACAATGACCACCAGGGGGCAGCATGGTGATTTTTTCATCACTATATTTTAGACAGAAAGAGGGAGGATAGCCATCTTTACTTTAAATGGAGACGTAAGCAGCCGTAATGTTGTGATGCAAAGTGTCTGTCATTAAATGAATAAAGAAAATTAAATTAAAAACGTGAAAAAGTTAGCAGACATTGTGCAGATCCTTCCCAAATGGGAACATCTGTCACAGGAACCAAAAGGCTCTGTGTGCTTTTTAAAGTGTCAGTATGCCAGGGCTGCTCCATGGTTACCTCACAAAAGCTTAATGTCCTTGGAAACCTTGAGCCAGATATGGAGAGGCTCGGGCTGCACCGGCAGCGGGTTTGCTGACATTCGTCTCTGTCACTGTGACTCCAATCAAAGGGATTTTAACAAGATTACTAGGAGCAAGTGGAAGCAGTGGAGTACAAACATAATGTAATTATCAAGTGATGGAGTGCCTGAAACTGCTGTATTATCACCGGCGAGTCTCTTAACCCCTGTCAACACGATAGAGATCACACTGTCACTAACTCGGTACATGATGATGGGCAAAGCTTTATCAGGAGGAGAGATTGAGCTCAATTAAAGCTCAATATTTGCACCATAACTTGTAATGATTTAGACACAGCAGATAAATGGGTTGTGTGAGTGATTATTTTTTGTGTCCGTATCATTGTCTGGTTGTGTGACAGCTCACTCTCTCAGCCTCAACCTCATGGTCCCCGATTGTCTCCTGACAACCACATTTCTCTCTTTTGCCACTTCCTTTTTGCACATGTAACCCGGTCTCCATAGCAACTCATTTCAGTATTAGAACCACAGACAAAAGACAGAAAAAAGAAAGTAGGCAAGCATATACAAAGTAAAACATGGAGAGACACACCGATCAATTGAAGGTGCACACAGGTGCACACAGAAGTGATGCTGATGCTTCACTGTAAAAAAAAGCATAAGAATATTTTTTTGGTTGGGACATAATGAAATTCATAAGCTAAAAAACAACCTTTCTTCTTAGGTTAACATACACAGTTATTATTATTATCATTTATTATTGTTATTATTATCATTGTTGTTGTTGTTAATAATAATATAAATAATAATAATAATACATAGATACAGCAAATCATTTGCAGGTTTTTAGAGTTTTACAATATGGCCTTTACCTTATTCCTCTCACCTGTTGGACCTAACCAGTCGTAAAGAAAGCCTGCTCAAAAACATGCCTTGCTACAGCGTCAAATTCATCACAGATATGAATGTCGACCACTATTGATGAATCGTGTTGAATCCTATTCAATATATAAAAATAGAGGCAAAATACCATCAACTCATAAAGAAAAGCATCAGAAATCAAAAGAGAAGTGGAAAATTTCTCCTACTGACGTCAACACAGATGTTTTCTGTTGGTAACTGCCTCAATCTTTTATTTCTACATTTTAAATAAAGCAAATTAACATGATTGGGCACAGATAATTTTATTTAATACTTTGTTCAGATGTTCAGTGGTAATTTGAAGTGTAATCTGATGTCATAGTAACAAGTATTATTTAATCTTCTTTTAACCTTAAAACAGGGAATTTTTAGCTTGCTTTCAAATTCTGAAAAGATGTCAGATATTAAACCACTTTACTCTATGAGTTTTACATCAAATTCCACAGTGAAGTAGTAACATAAACTGGATGCGAAGACGAGATTCACTTTCTTTTACTTGTGAAAACCTGTGTTGTGTAGACAGCCCAACTGGACTGCAGACACATCCATTTAAGGTACTTGAAGAGGACATCAATTATACACATTTTTCTTATGACAATCAGGACAGCTAAGTAGTACCTCATGATGCTGTGTGAACTGGAAGGGAGACTGTTGCTCCTCTTGCTGAAATATAAGTGATACTTTGCAGGAAAAAATACCTTAA